CTTAGTGGGGTCTCACATTGGGAGCAACGGGAAGAGAGCCTTTGACTCTCCCACTGGTAGGTGGGCTATTACTGCAACAACCTACTGGCAACTGTCAAGCCCACTTTCAGTCCAGCAGTAAGTCATGTAATTTGTGGCAGGACCTGGGGTGCCTTTATTCCCCTTTCCCAGGACGCATGCTCCTTAATTACGCACAAGCGGGATAAGAAACTTCTCCAGTGTTTCTCCCTACCCCCCACTTCCTCTCCACCGTGCCCAGATGTCACATCAAATCTGAACACATACAAAAGCTTGAGAGAGGGAGAGGAAAGCTTCCCCAGCTCAAGTCTCAAATCTAAAATATTTCTGAAAGGTTGTGACTGAGGAGGGGGAGGGAACAGGGGAAAAAATAAAATAGTCTCTGTAATAACAGCCTGCGTCTAACTAGTTTCTTTTCATCTCTGCCTCAAGGAAGCACAGCTTTTAAACCATCAGAGATGCTAAGCATCACCAGCTAACCATCCTTAGACACATGTCAAGGCCTGCCATTGCTACTGCCCTTTACGTCAACGTGTGTCTTCTATTTCCAGCAACTATTTTAAAGCCTATTTTTATTTCTGAAACTGTAAATTCAAACACAAGACGCACTCCAGTCACACAACAGGTAAGTCCAGCAAAACTGAGACCCACTCCGCTGCTCTAAGGCCTCGTCACTGTTTTAAGCCATGTAAGAACTGGCAAGATTCTTCATCAACAACCACCTAAAGAACAGGAAAACATTCAAGTTTTCTTCCCTGCAGTACTGTTCTTGCACACTTGGATCCATTGTTGAGCCAGCTAAACCAAACGCTCAAGAGAGCTGACAGCTAACCGGAGCAGAAGAATTGCACCACAAGGGAAAAGACAAACTAGTTTTTCACCCCGGTCAGGATTCTGACAAAACTCCACAGGTTGCCTTTGAGCACGGCAGACTTCCAGCATCACTGAGGCTCTGCATGCCCTAAATAAAACTGCCTTTGCACTAGGAAAAAGAAAAATGTTTTTTTAAACTGCTAGATTATGTCAAACAGCCTCTTGTGCAGGTCTAGGCAACAAGATTTGTCAGCCCACACTGACTGCAAGTCTACAGAACCTAAACTCCACATGTGACTGGGTTTATTTCTCAGGCAAAGGGCAAGCCAGAGCAAATCCACTTGTTCAAAACTTATTATCAAGACATCAAAAATCGCACTGCTCAGAGAACATCAGTAATCTGAAATAGTTTAAAAGAGCTAATTAAGCACAATAGTGGATATAAGCTATCTATTCTTATGTTTCAATGCAGACAAAACAATCCTAAAGAAGATTCTGTATTAAGAAATACAGAATGCAGACTGTGCTTACTCAAGGGGGAAATTCAGCACCAGTGAAGGGAAGATGGGAGAGAACTATGCAGTGGCTGACAGTGAGGATAAAGAGTGAAATAACTATGGGTGATAATCATTGTAAGCTTGCAGTATTGTAACAGGGCCAAACAAACCACTGCCATCTTTAAGTGGATAAATGAGGCAATACTAGGCAGGTGTGGAGAAGAGACAAGCTATATTGGTGGGCAATAGTGGCCCTTACAGTATTACTTGTGAAAATATTAGCAATGTCAGTGATGTTGTGGAAATACTAGAATATGCACACTTCAAAAATACATAATAAAATTAATAAAGCTTGGAACAGGTTACCCCAGGAAGTTGTGGATGCCCCATCCCTGGAGGTGTTCAAGGCCAGGCTGGATGAGGCTTTGAGCAACCTGGGCTAGTGGAGGGTGTCCCTGCCCATGGCAGGGGGGTTGGAACTCAATGATCTTTAAGATCCCTTCCAACCCAAACTATTCTATGATAATGATGGACTGGAGAGGGCCAGTGGAAGAGCCAAAAGAAAGAAGAGGTGGTAAAATTGGTTCACATGCCTTATAGCAAGGGTTTACTGTTCAAATCTGTTCAGGACAAAGCAGCTCAAACTACTCCTTTATCTCTAGTTGCTCCGAAGGGGAAAATTAACATTTCCACACAAAGTTGTTCAGTCTAGGGAGAAAAAGGCTACAAGGTCTGGTGGTATCTATTTCAACTTTTCCAATAAAATCCACAAAATTTTCCAAATGTAGCACTGTGGTCTACCAGAACGACTTTACTCTTGATGTATCCTAACAGTGTTGGGCTGTTCTGCTGTTGTGAACATACCACAGGCTCCTGAGAGGATTGGCTTTCTCAGAGGATGAGAAGCAGCAAGGAGCAGAATTGTTCAGAAGAAACACAGAAGAAAAATCTGGAGTTTCTATTTCCTATGTTCTTCCTAAATTCTTAGCAACATTTGGTGTCCTCAGACTTCTGCTTGTGGCTTTTAAACCTTGCAATTGAATTGCTGCTTATTATGAGAACAGTCTGTTCAACTAATTTGTGCACAAGTACCAAACCATACATATGACACATAAGCCTTTTTTTAGATGGTATTTTTAAGAACTGTTTAGGGGCAAAGTCAGACAGTCATTTTAAACTCTTATTGGGATTTGCAACTGTACAAAATCATGAAAAAAAAGCATTTCAGTTCCCCATTTCAGTGCTAGAAGCAACAGAGGTTTTTCAATCCAGTGACTTACCAGGGAAAAACTGAATTGAATGGACACCTATTTCTCAGGATAATCCTGCCATCATTCACCATTTTTTCTTACTTTTCACTGACTAGACTAGAGTTTTAATTTTCTTATTTAGGTCCTTAGTGAGCAAAACTACAAGAATATACTAACATTTGAGTGCAATGTATTTTGCTTTTCACAGCTATCTGCAGAAACCTAGAAATAGTTTTAGCAGAATCACTCACCAGGGATGTCTAGTCCTCTGGATTTAACCACCAAAGCAAGTAATGCAAATAAAATAAAACAATGCTTTTCCTTTCCTTACAGAATGTTCTTTACCAGAAGTGGTGTAATTCTTCCTAAATGGCAAAGTTTTTCCTGACATGTTGTCAGGTTTCATCAGTAGATAACAACAGCTGATTGTGAAATAAAAGACTATGTATTAAAAAAATCACAATGTGACACCATGTAATTTTGACATGTGGCAACCATATTTTCAACAGTCAGGAGGAAAAAAAGAAAATCAACCCACAACCAACCCACATCACTGTTTTTATCCAGTGCTTTCTATATGGAGTAGCATACTCTTGTAACACTTCAGAATAAATAATCAAGGTCTCAGTAATGTCTCCTCACAGATTCCTGCTAAATTGCTTTTAAACAAATACAAGAAGATTTGCTACACGTAGTGGAGCAAAGTAAAGGTTAAGCTGTCATTATAAAGCACAGGCTACCTGAGGTTAGGCTGGAACAGAGTGTTTATCCAAGAATTTAATTGGGAAATTACTGTATGCTTTGTCTATAATGGAAACTTAAAACAGATTTCTTTTTCCTAAACAGGTGTAAGCTTCATAATAAGAGAGATTTTCAATGGGCTGGCAGCCACCTGAAATAATTAACCAGCAACTGATAATCTTGTTGGGGAAAAATAAAGGAGGTTCCAGATAACATGACACTTATTTAGACACATGGGAATTACTCTGTTTGGAGAGCACTCAGACTGATGAACAAGTAGTTTAAGGATCTTCAAGAAGATGAAAAAATCTACAGTCAAATTTTACCTATGTTCTTTCATGGCGAGGAAGTCAAATGCCTGGACAGAGGCAATTTTTTGTTCTATTTTATGCAAACGATGGATTTACTCCTGCTCAAAGGAGCACTGTTCTCGTTTGAAAGCAGCATAGCTGCTTTTGACACTTTTTTTTTTTCCCCATCCGACAAGTGTATAAGGTTGTGGGGGCTGAATTCCAAACTAGCCTTATCAAGGCCTTAAAGGGAAAAGGTACCATACAGTACTTTCCACCCCTTCCACCAATCACAACAGCCATTGACAGGGTTTCAGCTTTGTCATTTATGGGACTTGAATTTTTTTACTTTTGCCCAATATATAATGCCAAGCCTGCAATAGTGGGATCAAACAGACTGATCTACTTCTTAAATGAAATTCTGGATGGTTTCTATTTGTTCGGACTCAAAGCCCAGAAGAAAGGAAGCACATGCATTTGAAAAAAGCATCCTTAGACTAATAGCTACAATTCAACCTTGCAAGTGCCTAAAAGAAAAGCTAGGAAAGACTCCAGAGTCATAGCACTGTTTAAGAGGGGACTCATAGTGGTGAATGTTTTATATTATTTACTTGCCTTAAATTTTCTAATTCCTGTTTCTTCAAAGGCGAAGAAGGTGGAGCTGCAATGAATTTATCCCCTTCATGACTTTTATTGCTAGAATAAAAATAGAGTATTAATTAGAAGGAGTGACTGCAAATAATTAATTTTTAAAAAATCTCAGCGGAATAATCATTGATATTTATTAACTCCATTGAAAAGGACAGCAAAAATTTAATAGTCTAAAGAAACAGGGAAAGGAAACTAAGCAGAAACTGAGGCACAGGCTCTTATCCCAAGTGTTCTATTTGAGAAAGAAGAAGGGGGACATTTGCTGGGAAGGATTTGACTGACCGACTAACCAACCCACACCATTCTCCACAGCCTTGAGCTACTTTTGAAGTTCAGTGTAGAACAAGAACTTTAAACTAGAGAGATGCAGAACTCACTGCATTTGTAGCCTCTCTTCTTTTAGCCTGCAGTAAGAAAAGCAGTAAACTAGTTCTCTCCCTAGACATCTTAAAAACTAATTACATAAATATTCTAGAAAGATAACCCACAAAGTGCTACAACTTCCTTTAGACTTGTAGCTGCCCTTTATTCTTATTATTATTTCAAAATGTCTTTTTTAAAAAAATAAAACTCCACTTTCTTAAAATTATGCTTGGCTTCTTTTTGGGGAGCAAGTATCTGCTCTATTTAAAAAATATGCAACTTTGCTTCCAATAAGCTGAAAGAACCTCCTGGAATGAGAATTGAAGAGAAGGCTAACAGCTGCATCTTGGCAGAGAGAGACACTAAGGTTTAGAAACAGATAAAAAAACTTAATTGAAACCGAGTCTGTCCACTGAACTTTTTTTTTTTTTAATTTGATGTAGTTTCCCATCTGTTTACTACAAACAGATAACTCCAGCTTAGACCTTCAAAACAGATTGCAACAGACTCCAAATGAAACCTATACTCAGTACTGTTGTATATAACTCATGCCTTTACCAAAAATTAGATGTAAAAAAATACCCTTAGCCACTGAAAGTATTAACTGCTTTCTTCTGAATAAGAGAGAATCTGCCTCAGAGTCAGCCTGCTCAATTAGTGGGATTTGCTTCAAAACCATCCTGTTCAATTAGTGTGATTTTCTTCTGTTATATGCTTTACTGTTCTCTCACAGAAGGTCCCTTGTCAGAAGGAACAAATCCTTAGGGAACCTTTCAGAATCTGACACACAAATTCAAATTTGTTGCTGGATATTTTGAAATTGGCAATAACCACTGGGAGTTATGAGTCTTTAACTTTTTTTTTTTTTTTTCCCAGCTGAAGCAGTATCTGATTTTGAAAGCAGAAGGTAGTAAAGGATCTTCTCATACAGGAGTTTTCTTTTCCTGACTCTTACAAATCCCCATCCCCCCCCCAAATAAAAATAACCCAAACAAAAAAGGAGGTCTTGTCTAAGTGCCATCATTTTGTTTTCATCACTGCCCCTTAGTGGGCCCCATAAGCTTAAAATTGAAGTCGAATTTAAAGCAGAGAAGCTTCATCTTAATGGGCTGCATACAGCTTTCCAAGTTAGTTCACAACCTCCAACCTTGGTAAGGAAAAATGAAAAAAACCCCACAATAATCCCTCATACTTTTATAAATAATTTGGTCACTTGACAGGAAAGATTGTCATTGGGAAAAAAGGGTTAGAGAACAGCCTTGAAATAAAATACTGTTGTAGCCATAGCAGCCAACAACTCCCAGCCCTAGTCTATTCCCAGGGAACCTCAGAATATATGGGGATGCACCTTGTGCCTACGCAACACAGCATATGTGCAGTAAATCCTGACAAATGGATCTTTTCTTAAAATTTGTCTGTACTTGGGTCTGACAAAAACATTTTGTTTTTTCATTACTCTATAAGTAGTTCTACCATAGCCACTTTTTCCAGATTAGTTATTGTAACTCTTCCCATCTCAAAATGGTCATTAATGAAAGTACAGGCTATGGCCGAAAAAGTTACTCTTCAAAAGGAAGCTTGGAATGCATCATGATCAACACAAAAAGTTAAGACGCCTTCCTGCTATTTAACATTTGACATATACTGTCTATAAGTTACTTTTTCTGAAGTTTTAAGGAAAAAACTATTTTTTTCTTAAACACTTTTTTGTAAAATGCAATTTATTAAACAATAGCTCCGTGCTACTTTCGTGCTTACCTTCTAAATCTAGTTTCCCATTTCTGGTCTAAAACAAACACAAAAAAGCATACTAGGGCTGATGAACGTCAAATCTGATCATTGGGAAATGTTTACAGCTGAGTTGCCAGACATTTATATATTGAATCAAGTACATGGCGCATGTGCACACACACAGAATCACTGTATCATGTGAAACTTCACTTACAATTAGAGAAATACCAACATGCACTGTGGGAGAGTGTGGGAAAACATAAGATTTGCAGCACAGAAAATAAGATGGCCAGTGAAAAAAATAATTTCACGGCCTATTTCATTAAAGTTGTTAAGAACGGTAGGAATCAACTCAGTATTTTATTCTTAAATTAGCATACCAGCAATTAAAGCAATGAGCAGCTAACCAGTTTCCTTGGATATCCTAACACTGCTAAGAGAACTTACGAACATGTTATTTTTTCTGCTGGCCAAGCAGGATAGATGGCAGACACAGACTGTCAGCCCAGAGTTACTTGAGACAAAAAGAAAGGTTTACATGCAATTCTGTTTACCTGCATGCTTCACTGCTTTCACTGTTTTCTGTATTTCCCCCCAGCTGACTACTAGTTTTAGATCCATTTTCCTGCTTTGGCTCCTGCTGGTCTTCTGGCAGTAGCAGCAAGGCATTTCTTAGACAAATCGCTGCAAATTCCATACTGGCTACAGGTATTGCTGAGGACTGCCCATCACTTAAAGAGACACAGAAGTTAGTGAGTAGCAATCCTACTAAATTAAAAAATAAAAGCAGAGCTGCAGAAAGATCTGAACACAGAGAAAACTTTATCCTAAAAAAGCTAAATTATGTTTTGCTATAACACATTTAATTTATGAAGACTTCGGTGTCTTGCTGTTCTTACACATGGAAAGTACACCACAATGCCCAAATAGAGCGGGCAGATGCAGCTACAAGTTCTCTTCTTTTCCTTGACTTCACGTCCTGAAGTTTTATGACAGAGCAATTAGATTCTTTCTGCACTTTTCTAAAGGGGATTACTGAAAACACATTTTTTATGTGAGAAAAAGAGGACAGATTTAGATGACTGGAAATAAAAATTTCAGAGAAATCCATCTTAAGCTTTAATGACCTTCTTAGTTAACAATGAATACCCAGTTAAGCCCTCTGCTGGCATTCATAGAGGAGGCATCCAAGTGATGTTTAAGTAGGATTCATCAAGCATTTTAGCATGCTTCTCTCTTCACTACATTAATGATTCCAAAATGAACAGTTATTCCATGACAGTATTAAAAACTCCTGATAAACAGATACATATCCTTAACAAAGCTATGATAACAAAAATAAAGAGCCCATGGAAAACATACTTACTTATAAACAACATTCTGTATTGACTGGGATGCTAGGACTATCTTACGATGGTACCCTTGACCCACTATAGATTGCACAATTCCCTTTTTGCTGGGAAGACCTTTAGTCTCTTGTTCTGATGTCTAAAAGGAAGGGGAGGGAAAAAAAAAGGAGGAATAAAATATCAAAGCTGTTGAAATGAGAGCTTGACAAAACAAGTGAAAGCTGGAAGACAACCTGCTAAAATATAAAAATTAATAGTTTATATGGGTACAATTTTAAATCTTAAGTATGATGAAGGATCAGGCACCTTCTATTGTCTTTGCGTTGCAGAGGGATTTTACCGCCCACAGTGCAATCGCAGATTAGTTCTGACAGCTTGTCTGATAGCCCACTGACCTAGTTTCTCCTTTGTTTTGAAAGCAAAAGAACAATGAAACAAGTAGTATTAAAAGAACCACTAGGATATCTGAAAAGAAATAATATAATCAGCCAAATAATATTCAGAATTGGCACTGTAATGCTTGCCATCTTCTTTTCCTGCTTACACAGCATTCAAAACGCTCTCTGAAAAAGCTGCTCTCAAATTGTTCCAGGGGAGCATGAAGCTGAACTACAACATATGCAAAGTTACATAAATTAACTTGTTTAACTGATTTTTGAGTATGCAGACATCCTAGGGGTCAAACGAACTTAAAGCATCTTAATTGTCAGTCCCAAGAATTACCTCTACACTGTATTTAGAGGGGTTTGTTTGTTTGTTCTACCGTGAGCCATCTTAACAACTTTGTTGGTAAGTAACATTAGTGATGAAGAGTCACAGTAGTAAGGAAAAGCTTATCCTAAATCTGTATTTCAAGTAGCTATCACTTTTCAGAAAATTCATCAGAATCTATTGTGAAGAACATTGACATTATAATGGCATTTACTGTCACAAAAATACACCATAGAATGAGTTTGGTTATGAAGCACATATTTTGGAAGAGGTGCTAAAAAAACCTGCAGAAGCGGAATCATCTTTCATCCGTATTTTATAAACTAAAATACTAGAGCAGGTGAAAATTAGTTTCAGTGAAATTACTTTTCTATATGGTGTTCAGTGTATAAATATGAATCCATACTTAGATACAAAGGAAGCAAATTGAGTTACAAGGTCAAATTAAACACTATCGATTTTAGGGCTTCACTTGTCATGTTGCAAATCTATCTCATAATTTAAAGACACCTCCCCTTTGGCTTTAATATTAACAGCATCCAAAGTTAATGTCTTTTCTTGCAAGATTACAAATTCAGGAAACAGCAAGCTGTTTTTGTGACCTGAATTCAAGCACCCTGGTACACAACACAAGATCACAACTGTAGGACGAAGAAAGCTAGGCTTCAGGAGCCTAGCATGATCTACTGCTTTGGCTAGTCTGTGGTAAATGAAGTGCCCCATGAGGCTCCGTCTTTCCCTTTTCCCGACTGTTGAACACTGTCCTTGTAAACAAAATCCTAGCTTTGTTTTTTTTGCCACAAACCTATGCTAATCCAGTTTCCCACACCCAGCTTTTCACTAGAGATGATCACCTGTGTCTTCTTTATCTATGTGCCATTTGTAACTAGTAGGACAGACACAGAAAATTGCAAAATCAGAAGGCTGTTCTTCCTGCACTTGCTGTGCTTTATAAAACTTGGAACTATCTGACAACAGCTAGCACATACGCCATCAAAGTCAGTGTGTTTTTCATGCAACACTCTTGAAACTTCAATGGTGAGCCTGTGAAATGGGGATAACAAGCAACCCTCATCCATAAAGCTATGAATATCTTTCTTAAATTTTCTGAAATAGAGACACCAAAATAATGAGCACCATCTAAGTTCCCATGAGAAAATTTATGAATTTTGTATCTGGAGAGATTCAGATAGTGTGCAATAAAAAAAGAGGCCACTCAAAGAGGGAAAACAGAGAGAATTCAGGGACAGAAAAAAAAATGGAGATAACATAGCTGTTTTTTCAAATAATCTCACCCATCCTGTGCACTAAGTGAAATGGGCATACTGTGGAAATAACTGCATGGGATCGTGTAACTGGAGATTACATCATCCCGCTCCACACAAGAAGGGTGAATTACTGTTAAACAGAGAATCAAGTACAGTTATCTCTTAATTTCTCAGATGTACTATTTTGTTGCAGTCTTCTATTCAAAAGAATGAATAATCCTGTCCCTACCCCTCTGAATTTTAGTATATGGACTTATCCTAAACAGACATGGATCAACAGGTTGAAACCAAGATTCCCAGAGGGCATGCGATACATCTGCCATCAGTAGGTTTCCACAAACTTTGCCAGCAGAGGAACAAGTCTTAGCAGTTAGGGATACAGTTCCCCAACAGCTGTGATCACAACAGCTTCAGGATTGAGAAGGCTGATCTCAGCTTCCTCAGCCTATGCCACTTTTAGGCTAGCCACACTACAGTCTCACCCCTCTCAATCTCTAGTGGCAATTGAGTAAGGAAATAATGAAACTTTACATGAGTTTTGGCTGCATAAAGAGAAGGAAGATCACATGCAAAAAATTCAGTGGAATTCAGAGCACATCTTGTTATCTTCATCCCGTTTAGTCCTATAAAATAAAGCCACATCTGAATTTGGATAGTGGATTTACAGTAGAAAGAAAAAAAAAAAAAAAAAAGAAGTTTAAGGAGTTTATATCAGTTGTACATCAAGAAAATTGTCAATAATTGAGAACATCCCAGGAAGGAAGCTTCTCTTTAACCAAATACTTGTAAGGACTGCTAAAAGACTTTGTATCTTTGTATCTTCCAGTAAAGTTCTAGGACATAGTGCTATATTTTGGTTTTAAACAAGATTATTCACCAGTCTGATCCAATAACCATATTAATTAAAACATCACAAACTTAATCTTACTTTCTGCTACAACAGTAGCAACATACATTCAGTCATACCTTTTACACCATAGTATCCAGCCTTAAGTAGAGACCAAGGAACTCTGCTGGGATAGATGTATGTTTTCTCCTACTGCTACAGATAAAATTTAAGCTAGAACCTCATCATTTCAGAACTGGTAATGCAATTCCTAGCATCTAAACATAAAAATCCAAGATGTTTCAGTCAAAAAATTTCCAAAAAAATTAAGAAAAACAACCCTTCCACCTCAAAGTATCAGCAGTAAAAGTTATCAAAGTTGTTTCTGTGCATCAAGCCTCAAAGTGAATATCAAACCTCTAAAAGCAGCCACAAAAATTTTCCTTCCTTTGATACTACAAATGGTCACTGACTCCAATCTCACCTTGTTATTTCTGAAATCCAGGAACAGAAATCCTTGGAAGCACAGAACTTAGTATAGAGAAAAGATTTTGAGCAGGTTTAATTCTTCCGTTCACACACAAGAGACAGAATTACCTGTGGGGTTGTTTTGTTTTTGTTTCCAATATATATCATATATTATTTTATATTAGTTTTATGTATACATAAAAATACATAAACCCCAAGATTTTGCAACAAATATGAAATGAGTGTGGAAAGCTGACGCATCGTAAAATATCCATAAACAGTAAGTCAAACTATTAATGTTAGTATCTATGTTTTAAGCAGACAGCATTCACTACAGAAAGAACATATTGCTTCCTGTTATAAATGATGCCACATTAGAGAATAATACAAGTTTCTTTCCAAATAATATCTTTATGTTTATTTCAAGACAAAGTAAGGTAAACCTTCAGATGACTTGGAGAAATCTAACACGCTCCAAACCAGTTCACGGTTACCCATTCAGTTTATGGGTTGGAATGCCAAAGGGGTGTGACGGTAAATTGTCAAAACAAAATCATGCTTAACGCATCTCTCCAGCAAAAAGCTTATAACTTTACAGAAGAGCAGCTCTAACAGCCACTTACATGCTTTTGTTTCATCTCACACCAGTCTTTTGGATAGCCTACTCAAATTCTTCTGACCTTTGAAAAGTCAGTTAAACACTGGGTCTCAAGACACTGTTTCCATAGTAGCTTTCCTCCACCTGTTACAGCTTCAAGTTAAACACGCAAACACACATATACACAAAAATAATTGATCTGGACTTACACAGAGTTGTTACAACATTAGGCCTTTAAAACGCATAGTTCAGCTCATGGTATTACTTCTTCCTGTGATCACATGTATTTTGTAACTACAATCAAAATAAGGCATTTGCAAATCTACTTACCCCTTTATTGGCAGCAATGCAGCATTCTGCTATTCTCAGCCAAAGACGAGGGTTTGAGTGATAAACCTGGACTGCCTCAATCAGGCATTCAAAGGCAGCTAAGGGCCTCCCAATATGCAAGAGCTGAATTCCACAGTTGTAGAGCAACTCATACCGTTTGTTAGTCAGCAGCGTACACATGGGTCTCCCTGAAAATTTTTTACCTGCAGAAAAGGATTTTGTCATATTGAATGTGCTCAAGAGAACAGAAAACATAACTCTGGGAGAAGGAGGGAAGCTGTGGGAAACACCCAAAAACTACCAAACCCCCCTTTCATCACAGAAATTCATTGCCTCCTTCTGTAAATAAATTCCTTCCATACAAATTAATTGTATTCTTAGTACAGGTTGAAGCACATTAAATACTAACTACTTATGTTTCTTGTCACTCAAGCTAAATGTTATATAATAGTGTTGAATTCTATTACTGTTATATGAGTAACAAAGATTTGTGAGAACACATATCTTTGTTACTCATATAAATTCCACAACAAAATCACTTTGCTGTTAAGAAGCATAATACATTTTCTGTCTTCACACTGGTACCCAAGACTGCGCTTAGGTACAGGGATGGGGAGGAATAGGAAAAGCAATAAAATGTGTGACAGTAACTAGATTTTAAAGAAAACAAGAAATTACAAAATTATCACTTGATGATGAAATCAGATATTTGGAAAAGAAAAAAACCTTAAGTATTATTAATCAAAGCAAGAGAACTTACTATGTTTATATTCTTGTCTTTTGTATACTTACAACAAAAGTAGATGGATACAACTAATCATAAAACAAAACAATAGATGAACATTTCTCATGCAAGTTTGGGAATTATTCAGTAAGAAAGTTCGAGAAATACACCACCTTCCAAATGCTAATTTAATGGTATCGCACTCCACATTTTCTATATATTCTGAGTTAAAAAAAACAAAAACAAAAACAAACAAACCCCACAAAAACCCCACTTCAAGTCCTGATGATTCTACCTACTGTCTGGAGGACTTTAACATCTTTAACAACACAGAACAGGTCACAGAAACTTTGTCATATCTTCCTGACTGATGGTCAAAGACTATAAATGAGAGAAATCTGCCCCAGCCCCACAGCACGTCAAAGAAAACAGCAAAAAAATAACATATTTCATCATAATTTATTCCTGGCAAAAGCAACTATACTCTGAAATCAAGTTACAATCAAAATGCTCACCCTCCTTACCCTGTCCTCTGCAAACAGACGGAACAGGAATTTTTCTGATAAGCACTGAAAGCTTCTATCCTCTATTTTCTTGATTTGCCTACCCTTCTTCCACCATCTATTTTCATCTCTCAGAAGTCTTACCTGGATCTGAGCTGCTTGTTCCTAGCTGTGCACACGCATTATCATTTTCTTGCAAGGCTTTCTTAAAGTAAAAAATTCCTAAATTGTGCTTTCCCATTGCAAAGTGGATGCAGCCAAGATTGTTCCAGAACATACACCTTAAGCATTCACCTGAGAGAACAGCAAAAGGCCACTTTTGTAAACTGAAAAACGTCACTGAGCCCATAAAATGCTCCCACCACTCTCTCAGGGGCCAGCATATTACAGTAGTTTATTGAACATGTTCTTCAGTGAGATGTGCATGGATTATATGCATTTACATCGCTGCCTCACAAGCATTTTAACAAACTGCATTTCTGTATACCATAGTTCTCTTGGACAGCTGACATGAAATGCTACATATAAGCAGCCACAGATTTCCAAATCTTATGCACCGTGTTCTAGGAAAGCCAGGAATAAAGCCAATTTGATTAGACTGCAATTTGAAGTAAGTTCACAGGGAGGTTTTCGTAGGATTTAGCATGCAAGCACTTAAAGTTTTCTAACAGATGGCACTTGTAAAAAAGGAAATTCTCAAATTATGTTACCTGCCTAGGTAAATATGTCAACCTAACCATACAAGCAGGAAATGTACTCTTCTTCCTAAATCTATCATGTTCAGGTAACACTGTAAGAATTCTTCTGAACAATAAAGGACAGAAAATTAAATTTTTAACTAATCTGCTGGTAATGGAAGCTTTACAGTGTTACCATTGATAAAAAAGAAAAAAAAAAAAACCCAAAAATCCTAGCAACCAAGAAACAGACCATTAACAAATTAACTAGACATTACTTTAATCATAACCCAGGAAGACTACTAAGTGAACATGCCACTGTGCAAAAAAGTTATTTGAAAATAAAACATTCCAGAAAATATTAAGTTATAAAAAGAACTTTAAACATAAAAAAACCTGTCAAAAATATAAGTTACAGTAAATTCTAAAAGTGTCAAAATGTACCAGAATAGGCATTATGGCAAATATTTTTAATGTTTTACATGAAATTTATCTGTAAATACAGAAGTTTACAAAATTTACTCAGTCTTGTGATTCCCAGGGCCAGCTCTGTGACTTCTATCATCTAATGGCAAACTACACAGCAGTATCTACCAGATAAAAGATCTTACAGCACAAGAAGTGTACTATCACAAAACAGTGAACAAAATAGTAAAGAAATCCAATAGTTTTACAGTGCAAGTATTTTTTGAAATCCTAATTCTCTACTGACACAAGACACAGCTTCCTCTCTGGATTTTGCAACTGATGTTTTAAAGAGTCAACTAAAATCTCAACTGTATTTAAACAATACTGTATACAGTGAGTGTATACATAGACAGCATATATATTTATAGTAAATAAAACATATAAAGTATAAAATAATAAAATAACCTTTAATCTAAAGTAGTATACACATTGATGTGCTATTACATCTCTGTGCATGTGTACACATATATACTTTCTAGATATAAAGGTAACTTAAAATGGCACACAATAGAAGTCAAACCTTAACACTTTATGAAACATTGGCTTTTCTCCCACAATAACTATTACAACTGCTACAGTCTCCTCTCTGAGTACAAACTGAAATCTCATTTCTAGATCTACTACATTGCTTTTTGTCTCATGTCTTGATTTAGAGACCCAAATATAGGCCTTGTAAATATTACTTTTACATCTTCACTAATCCATTTTCTTAGACAACCACTGCATTGTCTAGAATGTTCAATGAAAAACACAACAGTGTTACATGAAGGAGCACAACAAGAAAGATGAAAACACATCCAGGATATAAACTCATGACATTCAGGACCTAGTCCCTTAAGTAATCATCAATATGCTTAAAATTAATATAAATGAGTAGTCCTATAATACCACACATTTACATACTTGCAGGATGAAGGTTTTCTGTTTTACCTGTTTTCATGAAGCCTGGATGTTCAGCAATGTTTGCACTGTTTAAAAGTTTCACCGCTTTACGATAATTGCCCCTCAAATATTCAAAATTGCTTTTAAGAAAGAGAGAAGGAGCTGACTGTGAAGGAGAAAACAACAGTTAATTATCTCATTTTATATTTCTACTGCTAGTCTTAAATCACTCCTTGTGATTAACTCACAGCTTGTCCCTGCTGCCATTTTAAAAATACATGGGTATAGGCCCTAATACTTCCATGAAGTAGCATTTCTTTGTTGAGCATGTGATTAACACTCACCTCCTCCAAACTACAAAACTATGTATACTCTTTGTTACTGCCCTAAAACCCAACATTATTCGAGAGAACTCTGTCATGGCAATGGCTAAATGCAGAGGATCTTTCTCCAACCTGTCTTCTAGTACACTCCTCCCCACGCTTCCCTCCCTGTGGAGTTCAGCAACTTCCTCCTGGGCTGTGATCTTCCTGGTCTGCCAACAGAGACCTCATGATCCAGAAGGATTTCTGTCAAACTAGCAGCTGTTGAGACTGGCAACAAAAGGGAAGTGCTCTCCTCCCATTCCCTGCTCCTCAGTTAATGTAGAATTTATCTGGGATGGTGGACGTAATTCTGAGTTGAGAACTCCTATATAAAAAAGAAACTGCTTTCTAGCAAGAGGTAAGCCTCTGAAAAATTTCAACAAAAAGAAAAAACTCAAAAAAACGCATATCCCAGAATTAATCTTTTATGAACTGGTTTAAACCACTAATGACATCAGAAGTTTGTAATAGCCATAACATTCATAGTAAACTAAAACTTGTAAATTATAATAAACAGGTTTGTTTTGCTTTATATAGTGTTTCACTGTTATTTTGGTATCATTAACAATAAAGCACATTTTTCTGAGCAACTGAAACCAGCACAAATAAGAAAATTCTAAATTAATTACACTTGCAGAAGAGATTACAAACCCAACTGACTATATAAAGCATTATTTCAGGCATCCTTCTTCAATAAGACCTTTCTTTGTAAAGAAAGTTAGCAAATTCAGTTTTAAGATAAAGAACAGATCGAGATCAGAAAAACAATAGCCTTAAGAGTACTTACATTCCCAGCTGTATTCATAACAGACTTGATTTCCCTTTTGCATGCTTTTAGTGACTTCATCTGGATATAAGCTCTCACCTTATACTGTTAAAAAATTAAATTTGTTAAATACAAAACAATAATTGTGCAGGTCTGCAAGATGAACTATATCTAGAGATTACATATTTAATATGTAAAATTTTCCAATATTTTATATCTATCTTAAAAATAGGTAGTCAAAAGTTGTTCAAAAAGCCTTTCTAAAAAAATAAATTCTATTCAGACTTTCAACAACAAATTTATAGGCTTCGTATTTACAGTAAGCAGATGCACACTTTGTTCAGTGGTCAACAGCTACTCTAGATTGAAACACAGGTACTAGCACTTAAATTGACAAATTAATTGAAGTAATCTAACCTCTTAATCTCAGACATTTACCTACTAGACTGAAAACACCAGTAAGTGAATGCTGATAGAGAAGCATTTTGTTTCTTCACTATTTTCCCACAGAACAATACAGTGAAATAAAACTTCAGCTGATTTAGACTGTTGGAGGTCTAACAGATATAAAGTCAATGCAGCTAACTGCAGCTTAAAAAAATTAAGATAAACTGCAGGGATTGAAATTGGCTTTTTTCGTGCTCGGTCAGTTTTTCCTGTATGTGGATCTTAAAAAAAGGAAGAGTTAGATAAATTCATTCTTTTGTTTAACAACATGAAATTCAAGGATAGAGAGATCACAATTAATGCTGAACTAGATTTGAAGCAGATGACACCTGGTTTTAAGAAAAACTCAAACTGATGTTCTTGTATAAATAATATGCAGACACTTACCTGATGTATCTTAGATTTAGCAACTTCTATTAAAGCTCCACTTTCAGCTTTTTGATTTGACGAATCTTTATTTGTATTATTGCCTGACTGAGTGTCAAACAGGAAAAAAAAAAAGGAAGTGTTACTATTAGTCACCTTTAAAATTCAGTTTACAGATTCTTACATAAGCTATTTTTATCAATCCCACATGAAGAAGAAAAATAAGCATTTAATAGTAAAAAAATATACATCGCACCAAATACTGCAACTTGAGCTTAACAATCAAAATCCAAGAACGACCACACCAGCTTATGAAGAGCAAAAGTCTTTATTAACATTAGTGTTATGCTATGTTGCTCTGCAGTTGAGGTATTTTAAGAATTATCTTATCCAGAAGGATGATATGTACATTCTAGAGTATCTCTAATATTTCTTCAGTAGAATTTCTGTATGCTTAAAGATATGTTTTAAGTGTGACGTTCCACCAACAGGAAAACACTGAAGTGTCTTCTTTTCACTTCCAAGCCACTACTCATTCTACTGATTTTTGAAAAAGACACATACAAAAGATTTAATTTGAAAGTACGCTTCATACTTTCAGATACTATGTAAAAAAGATGCTTGATTTCCCATACTATGGTATGCGATTGCAATTCCTCTCTGACACTGACTTCCCTTTCAAACTTATGGTCTCATATGGTCATAATCCAAGACAAATAAGGAAAATTATGGATATTTGACCCTGAAGACAACGGTCTTTCCAATGCAAGTCTCTGACTTAAGAAACACTTCTTAGCTCCCTGGGAGTAAGAGAAAAGGGTGAAAGAGAGGGAATAAATAGCTGTTGTATACAATTAACTCAGTTACTAACATGTATAAGTTGCTATCTGAGGTTACATGAGATCTAACTTAGTTTTATAATTTAAAAGTATTTCAAGAGTAATTTTCGATTGAGTTAAAGCATACTTCTTGTAAAGACTTAGTGGCATTCACATGGTTTTAAGCATACCTCATTTTTTCCATTCTTGCTGTTACTGTTGCCCTGTGAAATCATTTTTTCCAGAACAGCAAGCAGATGCAGGGCTTTCTCAGCTTGGTAAGTTAGCAGGTATAAGTCTACAAGCAAGAAGCACACAGCCTGGGCAAACTTCTCTTCTGTATAAAGCAAATAAGTAAAAATTATTTTATAGCTTCGATACCAATCCTTCCAAACACGACTGAAGAAAAAAAATTGACTGTAAAGTGCATCTATGCAACATTATGAGAAAAATCACTATATTACATAAGGAAAAAAATGCAGACATCTACACAATAATAATAAGTACATACACTGAAAAAAAAGGTAATTCATTCAAATGGCATCAGCATAAAACCATAGACTGAAGACAGTTTAACATGTATTTCATGTTTATAGATTCTAAGAGTAGGGCTAAGCAGATCAGCACCAAACATCCAGCATCTAAACAGACAGAGCCATATGCATACACAGAATCCCACAGAACTTGAAAGGATTCTGTACATGCACATCTCTGCTTGGCTGGCTTCACAGAGTAAGTCCCAAGTAGGCATACTGAAAACTGGGAGGAACTGAAGGAGAAACATGGTAGTATTTACTTAATTAAGTATTTACTTAGACACACACACACACACATATATCCTTCAGCCTTGTTGCCTCTAAAAATCAACTAGGACTATGACATTATTTCATATCAGTACAGCAATTCCACTACACAAGGGTGCCATAGCTCATAAAAGTTGTAGACTTTATATTCAGATATGAGCACACCCAATTACATATGACCTAATGCAGGTATTTAAAAGTACCCTGACAAATATACACCCACCCATGAAGCCATATGACTCAAAATACTGGGTTTTAAATAATTTAATTAGTTTGTACATATTATTTACATAAAAAAACTTTTACAGTTGTCAAAAATCCATTTCAGTTTTATATTTGTCTGCTAAATGTTTCTGAAGTACCTTCCTCCCAAATTCAATTGTTGTCCTTGATGCACGCAAAACATATTCTTCATTCCAAAGCTTATCTACTTTTTTAGAACCATATTAGGCAATTTACAAATCACTTCTCTGATATTAAGAAAAACTGAACGAATAATGATCTTTCTGTAATTATTGCATTAACACAACTCTTCTTTCTGTCTACATACCGAAAGGCTCTATAAACTGGTACAACTTCTCCCCAACAGATATAGCTTCAGTATACTGACGTAGATGATATAAAATAACAGCTTGATTGTAGTACAGCATGCTATTTTCAACATCATCTAAACCATCCATTTCTTCAACAGCAGAGTGAACCTGAAAAAACCTCCACTTGTTTCATTAAACTTTCAATACCTGTGATTTTATAAAGTGACAAATATTTAAAAAAAAATAATCCAAAGGTATTAATTGGTCTAAAGATACGTCAGTAAGACTTTTAAATTAATAAACTTTATTGTTGTTCAACATAAACTCAGCAAAAAAATATTAAATGATATAGAAAGCCATCAACTGAGTAGTAAAATAACATTTTCACTTTTTTATTATTTCACAAACTATTTCAGGTTAAGGAGCTTTCTACTGAAAGAACATAGCAGGTCTTTCTACGATTATAATCTCTGAAACGGTACAGCTGCAGATCAATTTCAACAATAGCTAAAAACTTAACTATAAAAACAGTGTCCTAAATTATTAGACAGACTCAAAGTTTTTAAAGTAATGTTACTTTCTTATTCCTTTATTACATCCAGAGGACAAAAGGCAGAAGTTTTATTCCAATTTTACTGGAAGGTTTCACCACCATTAATAGTACTCAAAATAAAGTACCATGTCAATGTTTGCATTACCTGGTTCTTCAGCTGGTTAAGGGTTTGTCTCAAATTGTCTGTTGTAGTCTGGTTACTTTTACAGAACTCCGCAACAGCAGTATTCAAAGTTATTTTGTAGTCATCTTTGTTTATCTCTTGAAGGGTATTTAGGTGTTGTAAACAAGCATCATAGTTTCCAGCCTGGAAATTGCACACATACCAGCAACATGCATTATAAGATACAAAATTTAGTCTAGCAGGCTACTATGTTTTAACAAAAATATCCTCTTAAGTTTACGTAGCAAAGTAGTACTTCCTTTATCAACAGCAAGTAAAGCAAAGTAAATGTCTACACATGTATTTCATTATTTATGCAGATTAATATTTATGAGAAGTAAGTTTAAAAGTTGAGGTCATATGCAAACGTCAAAAATAATTCTGTGGAGGAAGGACAAACGGAGCAGTTGATTATTATAGACAGATACTTCATTAAAAGTGTTATTCTGATTTCTCTTCATCGTATCTAGTTTCAAGATTCTTTATTTTCTTTCAAAATATCACATGTACATTGAGCGGCTGCAGTTGCTTACGCAAGTTCCAGCGCATCATTTTACGTTAATTCTTCACTTCATCAGGAGAGACCAGGACTCACAATTTACTCTGTGGTCTAGCTTAAGACAGGTTGGAAAAAGATTATGTCACTTTCCCAGTACAGGTTTAAATAATATTTTTACAAGTTTTAGCTGTTGAATGAAGTATTCAATCATCTAGGCATGCATAAACAGAAACTAGGACCGAAGCACGATGCTCCTCTGTGGTATGAGTTAATCAAGAAATCCCTTTCTTTGACCTCAGGAATAGGCAAGGACTCCAGAATGGCTCACCTCTTTCTGCTTTCAGTTTTAGTCTTTTCTGTATTTGTGCAAGAGGAATTCAGTGGCATCAAGGAATGAGAGAGAACTCCAGACTCTTTCAACTATGTTAAGCCTAAATGATCCTTCACTCTCTACTGTTCAATTCCTGTACAGGAATAATGACCTTTCACCTCTTCTGTGTCAGGGTTACTTTCAATCTGGTCAGTCAGATAAGCAGATTCATTTCCATCTCTGTCACCGCTTCACAATCAAAAGCTATGCTCTTGAGTACCACGACCACTTTCCACTTCCTCCTCTTTTTTGAGTGCTGTTCCATGGAGCTTCTCCTGGGCTCCTGCCTAATTTCCTCTATTAAGGGAAGAATTACAACAGAGAAAGGCTCTGTTGTCTTTCTGCTCTTCCTGACAAAGTTGCCATTCTGTGGCTACTCTCAACAGAACCATCCCAGTTCCTTCAGTCTCCTGTGAAAGCACAGTTAACACAATTTACAGAGATGTAGCAGGACATTGATACACAGTATTTCCACAACTCTAAGCATCAACAGCATGGATTGCCTAGTGATCATGTGTATAAACACAGGGACTTAACTGCTGGCATGCTCTTTAATTCAGACAGTTCATCTCCCAGTGATTTTCTTCATGTGTTTCACACTTAAGAGTTTCTCTTCAACAGGAGCAGCTTTCAGATCACAGCAACAAAACTTCTAACCATGGTTGGACTAAAAACCTTGAACCCTTAAATGCTCAGCTTATTTTGTGATGTTTTTCCTCAGCCAACAGTCCTTTACTCTACTCTAGTAGAGAGGGTCTAGAATATAATAGACAACTTTATAGTAACTCTATCACGACTGAAATTGGAAGCACAATATGATAAAGCAGCACGCAAGGCAGTCCACAAAGCTATTTACAGCAACTCAATAGCAAGTAAAATCGGCAAACAAGGCACTAGACTAATTCTGCTGAGATCTGTCATCACCTCACAACTCCATGAACTTAGAGAGTTCCTAAAGCAAGAAAAAAAATCACAAGATAAACAAAATACCACCTATAGGTGTTACATGTTGAAGAATATGTTTTAATGTAAAGTAACAGAACAGTATACAATGCATTTTATGAGAACATACCAAGATGCTAAAATGAAAAAGGTTTGTTTAGTTGCTGTTTTTTAACTACATGCAGTTCCTTTAAACTCTTTAACACAACATTTTTAGCTTGAAGCCATTAATTCTTCAGAGAGATCATGCATTTCCAACACTGATACAGAATAGCAGTCTGCTTCTTCTAATTAACTCATGATACTGCTTTTAAGGCTACTAAGTTTTGAGAATCAAGCTTAAACGTGCTCTTGAGCACTTAGTTCAAGTATCCCCTTCAGTCTTCTCCTATCATAGCAGACAGAAAATGCATGTGCTGGCTTTGTAACTTTTGGTAAAATATCCCATTAATACATTTGCAACTGTGATAAGAAAACGGGGAAAAATAATTATATAAGCCCATTTAGCAGTTATGTGGTAAACTAGAAGTTTCAGAGTTTGTCTTTGTCTTACCAGAAAAGCTTGCAATGCACTGCTTGACAATTCCTTTTCCTGATCAGTAATCCCAGAAGTACCTGCTCCTTCATGTTTCTCAGTACCTTGATCTGTAAAGCAAACAGAAGATTACAAGCAAGTTTGCAAATGCGGTCACAGCTATACAGCTTAAAAATTTTGTTTCTTCCAGTTCTCAAGATCCTCCTGCCAGTACAAGTAACTTTGCAGATACCTGCAGCAGTGTCTCCCTACTACACTATCTCAAGTTATCCTATACTCCTAGTGAATTCCTCTCCACAAAATGTAAATGTTACAATCCTAGCTAAATTACTGTGATCAACCAATAACCAAAGGTCAGCAAGTTAACTGACAATGCATACATTTTATATTTCTCTTTAAAGCAGCAACCATACACTAGGACTGTCTTTATTTGCACAAAAGTTAGCAGTGAAGGTGCTAAAATAAGTACCACACTCAAGCAGACAAAAAACCATGCATCCTGTATGCTGCTGCCTAAACAGCAAGCAAGGGATGCTTTAGGGAACAACAAAGAAACAGAGCAAACACTGGAACTTCCACCCAGCTGCCTGCTTTGGAAGAATAAGTCTCCCTAAATAAGAGGCTGCAATTGAACCATCATTGTTAATAATCACTGTCAGACCTGATATATTTTTTAAAACTCTCTATACTTTTGTAGTCTTGAATATACTCCATCAAACACTATCTAGTAATTATACTGCAAGATACGAGCAAGTGCTGTCTCTTCACTTTTTCAGCCTCACTCCTGATCTTGCACATCTTTGTCACTCCTGATCTTGCACATCTTTGTTTGAATCATCTCTTCCGAGGTGAGCAGGCACAGTTCATTCTGCATCTTCCTCATGTTTTTCCCCTGAATCATCTCCAGTTCCACTATATCCTTTTCCAGATTAAGACAACAAGAACTGCATGTAGCAATTATGATGGTGCTCCCTTTGAGCATTTATATATAGCAATATAATAAGGTTTTAATTTTTTGTCTTTAATTTCTTTTACATAGAATTCCTAATGTTTTACCTTTCAGTCACTACTGAATGTATTTTTCAGAAAGGAGTCTACTGAACCCTTTTATCATCACAGAATTCAGTAAAGTTGCACTAAAACCATAGTACTGACATTCCATGTCAAAGAAGCTGAAAGAAACCCCACCAAACCTCTCCTTGTACTGAATGCAAACTAATAGAGGAAAAAAAACAAACCAACCTACACCACCAGCTACCCACCATACCAGACAGCTTATTTCTAGAAGCATTAATTCATGTGCTAGAACATACAAAAATAATGTAATGTTTTTGAAATAAAGACTTGATAAAACAGCAATGGTTTCTACTTTTGCAGGACTAGGTAGGCTTTGTAAATTCAATGCCGCCTTTCCCTTCCCTAGAATTCATATTCCAATACAAACTCTACTAATTTTGTTTTCTATTTGAACAAATGAAAATACTTATTTGTGAGCTCCACTGCAAAGTCCATTCCTCATCACCACCAATGTATCTGGATCATCTGCTTACTGACTATGAAAATTTACAAATCTAAGACAAACAACAACAGTAAGGGGCAACCAAACCTCAGAGTCACCAATTAACATCCACAGTAGGAATAAAGCAGACTTAGTAAATCTATCCATAGTTTGTGGTTCTTGCTGGGAAGATAGGGAGATCCCTTCCATTGCCCTGTGCAATAACACATTTGACCAAGAACTGTAAATATTTGGTTGTGACTTCCATCCTGCATCAAGATGCCGAAGAAGTTGTTTTTAAAATCTCAAAAATCTTACACCCAGGATTCAGCAATTTCAGTCTGGATCTTCAAGGGGCTACAAAACCACATTCACCTGCTAGAAAATCTGGCTGTGCATAAGGCTCTGATCAACACCACTTGCACTGTCTCTTCCTTGAAAGGGAAAGGCAAGAGAGAAAAATAAAATACAAAAAAGCTCAGAAAATTTTTGATGCACCAATGTTTTCCACAGCAAAAGAGGAAAGGATCAAGAAGCACCTCTCCTCCAAGCTAAATTCAGAATACATCTGATTCCTGCCCTACATCTTGTGGTTGTACAGCTGAACAGAAAGCTATCACTCTCCCAAGGATCTCCAAAACATCAGTGAACAAGCAAATGCATTTTCCCTCAAACTTTCATGATAACAGTTACGTTACTTGCTTTACTTGCTCAGCATGCCTTTCAGATTATTCTAGTAACAGTAACCATAGTGCACAGACTTCAGACTCTAAAACTTCTGAAGTCAGTAACACTCAGTCTGGTCAAGAGGTTCCTCACATACAGGTTTACCTAGCAGAGTGCCATCGACTACTGAGTGCATTAGTGATTACTGTCATTATACGCAAGTTTGTAAAACAAGCCATCTCAAACGAAGGTGGAAGTCTGAATCCGGAAGTAAAATGTCTTTGGTTAAGTGAAAGATAAACCAAAGCGACTGTTGTCTAAGCTGTTTGATAAAAGCACCACTTATATAGCTGTTTGATTTCCTAAGCAAAAATCAGGACAGACTTCACTATGTCGCTAAGTCTACTGGTATGTTTGCAGGGAAAGGGAAAAGGGAAAACAAAACAAAACAAACAAACAAACAAAAAAAACCCAAAAAACCTGAGGACCACTTTAAGCAAAAACAGAGCTGTCCCTTCTCCTGCAAAGTCAGTTTTATGGCTGTAATCCAATGAACTGCTCCAACTACACTCAGTAACAAAGCAGGTTTGCAAAACCTGAACTGGAAGCTTATCAAGAAAGAATAAAACTAAAGTCCAGCTGACGAAGTTCACAGCATAGCTCTTTCCTTTGAAAAAAAAAAAAACAAAAAAACAAAAAAAACAAACCAAAAAACACTTTGGATACTCTCTACCCTTTTTGCCCACACACACTTGAGAAAGCTGTTGAAGAGCTAAAGGTCCTTCTGATATACTGTAATCCTGCCACTCTTGTTTAGACTAGGATCTCCTGCTTCAGTTGATCTTTATTACTGAGAAATCTCACAGAAAGGAGTCACCTAAAAGCTGCCTGGCACACAATACAGAAAAGAACCCTCCAATTCCACTTAAATGGGGGAAGAAAAAAAAGTACTCTTGCTCTCTTGGCTGCAAACACCTATCAAGTGCTTGCAAACAAAACTACTATTTCCATAGTTCTTGAGGCATTTGAAAATGAAACAGGTAGGTGCACTGTTCCCTGGGAAAACATACAGCATGCCACTTGCTCAGTCAGTTCTAGCGATCTTTGGCATTCTTGCAGAGGCACATGGTATGGGTAACACACGGCACACCAGTCACCACTGACATGCTCCTACCCATAGAGGAGCTAGAATTATCAGATGAAATGTCTGAAACAGTGCAGATTCTCTGCTTTACAAGTGACAGGACTCAATTTATCTCTGTAAATTATATTTACACATGGACTTGTTTGTTCAACTTTTCATTTTGTCCAACTTTCACAAGTACAGAGCAACTCTAAAGCTAATACTTGTCAGGCTAGTGATGAGGGGCAAAAGAAGCAACCTGGAAAAAAATGTAAAAATCAACTGCTCAGATTTTGATCTGGAGAAAGCTGCTGCACTCAGATTGAAGTTAAAGAAGCAAGTCACGAAATTATCTTCATGATAGCAATCCTGGGGCTACGCAGCAGAAACACTATGCAGAGGGTTGTTTGCTTTGCACAGTAGACAGTTGTTCCTACTGGAGAAGTTACATCTCAGTGGACAGCAGAACTTTGGGAAAACTGGCTCTACAACATGACAATGAGGAAAAGCATGAGACTGACACCTGAAAAGGGAGCTTGCTCTCCTCATCAGCTTGCTGCCACAACATCATGTAAGCAACAAGAAGCCATATCTCCCACATGCACATACCCAAAGGCACCTGGAGAGTGACTGCAATCATTATCCTTCTCATACCTGTTCTCTGTATCTCCAAGGACTGCTGCTCCTGAGCTCTCTTGTTCCTAGGCCCTGCAAATTAAATCTCGCATGAACTGTGCTGTTGAATACCAGAGCATCTCTGGAATTATTTTTTATTTCCAAACTCCAAAAGATAATCTCTTCCTTGGAAGGGGAGGAATCTATCACATGACTCTTGTTCCAAAAGCATTTTGAAAGACATGAAAAACAACCAGAGTGCTCAGCCTTTATAAGATAAGGACAATTTGTGGCACAAAGACTACATTTTTCTATGAAGCATTGCACTACTAGTATAAATACAATGGACTTCTTCAATAATGTACAATAAAAAGCAAACCCTTCTCAGTGGAAAGTTATTTGTAACTCACTGCTATCAACAAGTTCAGTATGTAGAATATCTTTCCATAGCTCATGTCTTTGATTCATTTGGGCACATACTTTTCTTTTAGGCAAGTTCCTTCAATGCTTCCAAGACCAACAACAAAAAACTTAATGTCAATTTTTTTTCTTGTAGTTTAAGAGACATAGTGCTTACAAATAAACACAGGAGAGCTTAGTACACATCGCTCAGTACAGTACACTAATTTTTCCTACAATCTTCTTCAGATACCAAGAAATTTTGTATTTAGCCTCCAAAGAACAAAATCCTTGAGGTGATTTTAAAAAATGCTGCCACGATGTAAAACCACCTGGGAAAAAAAACTAAGAACACAAGTCAATCCCTTTGGCTTTCATCCACATGCCCTATTCTCTGTCCCCACTGAGCTGCCATCGGAGGGAAGAACCTCTCCTGCAAAGAGGACTTCTTGCATGAAGGCCATTCTTACAGGAGATGGATAAGGAGTAGTTTATCAATAATAATGGGTTACACAGCGACTGTACTTGAGATTTATTTTGTAATTTCTGTGATTTCTCTCTACAGTGTCTTTTCAGGCCCGAGTTTAGGGGGTGAGACCCGCTCATCCCCTGAAACCAAAGCAGCAACTCAGAGGGAAGCAGACTGAACTCCAGAGATGAAGTAGCAACATGAAACATTCAAATCTCCCCAGCACCTTCCAAACGCCCCAGATTAACCAATGAGCCCAGAACCTCAACTTCTGTGGCGCTTATTAAGCTCTGAGAGACACCCA